ATGACGAGGAGGATGAACTGAACATCACCAAGATGGAGTTATCGGCCCTTTCCGCCGGTGGCCTCACGACGCCTCGAACGATGAAGCTACGAGGGAGAATGGGTCAACGTGAGGTATTGGTTTTAATTGACAGTGGCGCTAGCCACAATTTTTTAAGCCGACGGGTGGTGGAGGAATTAGAGATGACGGTGGTGGAAACCCCGCCGTATATGGTAAGCTTGGGAAACGGACAGAGGGAACGAATTAGCGGGTGCTGTGAACAGGTGGCATTGGAGATGGGGGAAGCAAAGGTGGTTGAACGCTTCTATATTTTTGAGTTGGGCGGAGTTGACGTCATTCTGGGGGTGGAATGGTTAGAAAAGCTTGGGAAGGTGATGGTGGACTGGAAAGAATCGTCGATGAAGTACCGACAGGGAGACAGGAAGATAACAGTGAAAGGGGATCCCACTTTAGAACGAAGAGTGGTGGGCCCCAGAGCTTTACAAAAAATAGATGAGGTGGCAGTGTGGTTATTGGTTTGGGAATTGGGCTCGTGTGAGACCCAGGCGAGCAGCCCAAATTGTTCGGGGCTTACTGAAAGACAAAAACATCAGATAGAGAAGTTACTAAAATTTCATGACGTGGTGTTTGCGGAGTTAGTGGGGTTGCCACCTAGCAGAGAGACGGGGCACCAAATCACCCTTAAAGAGGGCACCGGTCCGATCAATGTCCATCCGTACCGATACCCACACGTGTTGAAAGATGAAACCGAGCAGCAAGTGACGGAGATGCACCGGATGGGGGTGGTCCGACCAAGCCATAGCCCGTACTCGAGTCCAGTAATTTTAGTCAAGAAGAAAGATGGAAGCTGGCGTTTCTGCATCGATTACCGAGCCCTAAATCGAGCGACGGTGCCGGATAAATTCCCCATACCGGTAATAGAGGAGTTGTTGGATGAGTTAGGAGGGGCTACCTATTTTTCGAAGGTGGACTTGAAGGCCGGGTATCACCAAATCCGCATGGCTGTGAAGGATATAGAGAAAACGGCGTTCTGCACGCATCAGGGGCATTACGAATTCGTGGTAATGCCTTTCGGACTCACCAACGCGCCAACGACGTTTCAGAGCACTATGAATCACCTCTTCAAGCCCTATTTGCGGAAGTTCGTGCTAGTCTTCTTCGACGACATCCTCGTTTACAGTCGAACCTGGGATGAACACTTGGAGCATGTCGGAAAGGTCCTGGAAACGCTGAGTCGGGACCAGTGGGTGGCCAATCGGAGGAAGTGTGAGTTTGGGCAAACCCACGTCAAATACTTGGGACATATCATCTCGCATAGAGGAGTGGAGATGGAGGATGAAAAGATCAAGGCGGTGGTGGATTGGGAACGGCCAAAATCGGTAAAGAGTTTAAGGGGATTTTTGGGTCTGTCGGGGTATTATCGGAGGTTTATTAGGGATTATGGCAAAATCGCCAAACCTCTAACGAAACTGTTGAAAAAAGGGGGCTTTGCTTGGAACGAAAGGGCGGAAGAGGCATGGCAAACACTGAAGACAGCCGTCACGACAGCCCCGGTGTTGTCCTTACCCGACTTTCAGCAACCTTTTCACATTGAGTGTGACGCGTTGGGTAAAGGAGTGGGTGCGGTACTGATGCAGGAAAAAAAACCAATCGCTTTTTTCAGTAAGGCCTTGTCTGAAGGAGCTCTCAGCAAATCCATTTACGAGAAGGAATTGATGGCTCTCGTGTTAGCTATCCAGCATTGGCGTCCTTACCTATTGGGGCAGAAATTCATAGTGCACACGGACCAGAAGAGCCTCAGGTATCTATTGGAGCAAAGGATCACGACGCAGAATCAACAAAACTGGATAGCTAAACTATTGGGATATGATTTTGAAATTGTGAATAAGACTGGGAAGACCAACCGAGCTGCTGATGCTCTGTCTCGAATAACAGAGGGTGAAAAAGAAGAAAACAAGGAACTGACGGTGATAGCCAGACCTTATTGGCAAGACTTTGAAGAAGTCACGAGGGAAGTGGAGGAGGACGAGAGGCTACGAAAGGTGATTGAAGAGATTAAGGGGGATCCAAATTCTCACCCGACGTACACGGTGGAACACGAAAGGTTGCATTACAAAGGGAGGTTAGTATTGTCTGCACAGTCTTCGTGGTTACCTAGGCTAATGGCAGAATTTCACCAAACTCAAACGGGGGGCCACTCGGGAGTCTACAGGACCTACCGAAGGATAGCCCAGTCCTTATTTTGGGTCGGGATGAAGAAGGATATTACCGAGTTTGTAGCTAAATGTCTTGTGTGTCAACAACACAAGTATTTAGCGTCATCACCGCAATGATTACTACAGCCCTTGCCAATTCCAAATGCAGTGTGGGAAGAGCTTAGCATGGACTTCGTGGTACGGCTGCCTAAATCCTAAGGGTACGATGCTATATTGGTGGTGGTGGACCATTTGAGCAAGTATGTCCATTTCATACCGCTCAAACACCCTTATTCGGCAAGGACAGTGGCTGAGATTTTCATGAGAGAAGTAGTAAGATTGCATGGGATCCCAAAATCCATCGTGACCGATAGAGACCCATTATTCTTGAGCATGTTCTGGAAGGAATTGTTCAAAAGTCAGGGGACGCAGCTGAAAATGAGCACCGCATATCACCCAGAAACGGACGGGCAGACGGAGGTGGTGAACCGTATTCTGGAAGGGTATCTCAGGTGTTTCTGTTCAGAGCAGCCTTGAGGTTGGATGACAGTACTATCATGGGCGGAGTTTTGGTATAACACGAGTTACCAAGGAGCAATAAGGTGCACACCTTTTGAGGTTGTCTACGGGAGAGCGCCTCCTTCTTTGCACAGATTCATTCCTGGTCAGTCTTTGGTAGAGGCCGTGAATCAAGAACTTCAAACCAGAGACGAAGCTCTGAAACAGTTGAGGTTCCATTTGGAACGCGCGCAGGATCTTATGGTGCAACAAGCTAATAAAAAGAGACGGGTCGCGAATGTTAATGTGGGGGACTGGGTGTATTTGAAAATACGACCCCATAGACAAACCTCAATGCCAACTCGACTCCACCCAAAGCTGTCAGCAAGGTATTTTGGACCTTTTCGGGTGATTCAGAAGGTGGGGGAGACAGCTTGTAAACTGCAGTTGCCGGAGACAGAGCGAATCCATCCGGTATTTCATGTTTCATAGGTGAAGAAGGCAGTAGGAGAGCACCAGGTGGAGAAGGACCTACCGCCTGATCTGCAGGCAGAAGGGCCTTCGTTTTGGCCCGTGAATGTTTTGGGAAGGAGGCAGCGGACAGAAGAAGGAGAAAGCGTGCCGCAACTGCTAGTGGAACAAGGAGGACAAGAAGGGGCCACCTGGGAAGATGAAATAACCATCCGAGAACAGTACCCCGATTTCAACCTTGGGGACAAGGTTGATGATCAAGGGGAGGGTATTGATAGGGATAAGAATAAGAAAGAATGGGTAGTTTATGAGAGAAGAAATAGGAGGAAATGAATTTAACAAACTGTAACAGACTTTCAGTTAGGACAGTTTGGCGAGACTGAAAGATGGTATAAATAAAGACTGAGTAGAAGGGATGGGGGATTTTTGTTTGCTTAGTTGCTTATGGGTTTATACCTGTGGAAGAGGGTTATGCCTCTGTGGTTGAGTGTATAGATACTATACTTGTGAATAACATTCAAACTTTTCTTTCTTTCTGTGTTTCTGGGGAAGGACGGGAGTCTTGAAAGTGGGTTCCCCCTTTAGGAACCCAACAAAGAGGGATGAAGTTGTACCGTTTATATGGTTGTTGGATAACACTCAACAAAAATGCACATACATGTACATATAGATAGATTGATACATACATACATACATATATACATACATACATATATATATACATATATATATATATACATATATATATACATGTGTGTGTGTATTTATAAATATATATATATATATATAATCTCATGATTCCAACCATAAAATATATCTCACCAGGTATAGACTAGTTGTGATCACTACTAACAGACTCAATATGACTGTGAATGGTATATGATCTCGTTTCATGTTAAGACAATGCCACAAGCATAAATATAACTGAAGGTCCCAAGATTATTCCAATGACTTTAGTATTATATCCATTAGCTTAAAAAGAGAAAAGTGAAATCACTTCCAAAATTAAGCAATTTACAAAAATAAAGAGATAGACATAGAGGGCAACCCAATCCATGAGACTCTCACCTACAGAAATTTGTGGAAGGAAGATCTACACAGACTTGGCCCTACAAGCAAAGAGGCTATTTCTAGGATTTGAACTGGTGACCTCCAGGCCACAAGGCAGCAACCTTAGTTTGCACTAAGGCTACTCCTCATAAAGAAAAGAAATTGACATACACAGAAAATACTCAAACAAAAATCACTTACATGCGTTCCAATTTCCCCCTATTTACAAAGAACCCATCATGCTTGATTGCAGAGTTATCAACCTCAAAATACTCATCCTGCAGAAAGAAGAGTTAAACTAATTAAAAAATATGAAAGGTGAAATGGTCACAATATAGGACAATGAAATTCCTGTTTTATCATCAATCAAAGGTCAAATAGTCATAATGTCATAACAAAGCAAAATGGTATAAAAGATACCAACCAATTCAGCATCATCAATGAAAGAGTCTTCTGTATCATACTGATCATCAGGAACATCAAGTAGATCCTCCTCATCACTACTATCCTTACCCTAAAAATGATTTGGTCTCATTATTCCCAACATGGAAAACAGATTGAAAAAAGCAAATAAAACTTACATATGCATCTATGCTGTGAATTTACAGTATAAATCAATTCATTTTTGTACAGTGCATCTAGTAACACTATCGCGTGAAGCAATACAATCATACCATGTAAAGGCGTTCAATCTTTTCTATTACAGCACTGAAACGATTTGGCTGAGGAGCACCTTGTTCTTCCGTCTTCTTAGGTTGTCCCTAGAATTGACAAGTTTATCAAAATAGTGAAGCACAAAAGAAACCACGCACCACTAAAAGAGACAGTATGCTGATTTCTACTGGTTTACTAATTCAAATAATATACTGTGGCGTAAAACAAGACAGAGACAATTAAAGGCTTGATCACCTTGTCTATAATAATTTCATGTCACAAATAAATAGATATATGTGTTTGGATTTGCATATGGGATACACGTGTTCATGTTAAGTCAGGTAATCCGTGTAGAGGCAACATTTGACAATATTATACCATGCCAAAAGGCAAATTCAAACAGACATTATATCAATATGCATCATGCAGTCAACCTTACAATTTTGATGTCAAATACAAGTACTTCCGACTTTTCCATTCAAATATTTTTCCGTAAGAGAAGCACTGCAGCACAAACCATTCTCTTTGTACATTCAAACTAGCAAGTTTGAAGTCAAATACAAGTACTTCCAGGTGCAATTTGACCACAACGAAACCCTTTCAAATAGTTTTTCCATAATAACAGTTATGCATTCAAACTACTAAGTTTGAAGTCAAAGACAAGTATTTCCGAGTGCAATTCCATTTTGCCGCAACAAAAACCTTTCAAATGATTTTCTATAAGAGCAGCACTGCTGGCACAAACCGTTATGCATTCAAACTAGTAGAAATCAAATACACGTACTTCCAAGGAGCAATTTGACTTTGCCACGGCTAAACCCTTTTAAATAATTAAGTAGAAACAAACAGTTGTCGCCATGCATTCAAACTAATAAATTGGAAATCTAATCCAAGTACTTCCAGGAGCAATTCAACTTTGCCATGAAAAAACCCTTTCAAATAATTTTACATAAGGGCAGTGTCACACAGCACACACCGTTGTCAAACAGTTGTCGCCATGCATTCAAACTAATAAATTGGAAATGTAATTCAAGTACTTCCAGGAGCAATTCAACTTTGCCATGACAAAACCCTTTCAAATAATTTTACATAAGGGCAGTGTCGAGTTTGTAGCTAAATGTCTTGTGTGTCAACAACACAAGTATTTAGCGTCATCACCGCAATGATTACTACAGCCCTTGCCAATTCCAAATGCAGTGTGGGAAGAGCTTAGCATGGACTTCGTGGTACGGCTGCCTAAATCCTAAGGGTACGATGCTATATTGGTGGTGGTGGACCATTTGAGCAAGTATGTCCATTTCATACCGCTCAAACACCCTTATTCGGCAAGGACAGTGGCTGAGATTTTCATGAGAGAAGTAGTAAGATTGCATGGGATCCCAAAATCCATCGTGACCGATAGAGACCCATTATTCTTGAGCATGTTCTGGAAGGAATTGTTCAAAAGTCAGGGGACGCAGCTGAAAATGAGCACCGCATATCACCCAGAAACGGACGGGCAGACGGAGGTGGTGAACCGTATTCTGGAAGGGTATCTCAGGTGTTTCTGTTCAGAGCAGCCTTGAGGTTGGATGACAGTACTATCATGGGCGGAGTTTTGGTATAACACGAGTTACCAAGGAGCAATAAGGTGCACACCTTTTGAGGTTGTCTACGGGAGAGCGCCTCCTTCTTTGCACAGATTCATTCCTGGTCAGTCTTTGGTAGAGGCCGTGAATCAAGAACTTCAAACCAGAGACGAAGCTCTGAAACAGTTGAGGTTCCATTTGGAACGCGCGCAGGATCTTATGGTGCAACAAGCTAATAAAAAGAGACGGGTCGCGAATGTTAATGTGGGGGACTGGGTGTATTTGAAAATACGACCCCATAGACAAACCTCAATGCCAACTCGACTCCACCCAAAGCTGTCAGCAAGGTATTTTGGACCTTTTCGGGTGATTCAGAAGGTGGGGGAGACAGCTTGTAAACTGCAGTTGCCGGAGACAGAGCGAATCCATCCGGTATTTCATGTTTCATAGGTGAAGAAAGCAGTAGGAAGCACCAGGTGGAGAAGGACCTACCGCCTGATCTGCAGGCAGAAGGGCCTTCGTTTTGGCCCGTGAATTGTTTTGGGAGGAGGCAGCGGACAGAAGAAGGAAAAGCGTGCCGCAACTGCTAGTGGAACAAGGAGGACAAGAAGGGGCCACCTGGGAAGATGAAATAACCATCCGAGAACAGTACCCCGATTTCAACCTTGGGGACAAGGTTGATGATCAAGGGGAGGGTATTGATAGGGATAAGAATAAGAAAGAATGGGTAGTTTACTGAAAGTGTCGGTTCCGTAAACAAAGGTGCGACCCACGGGGGAAATCACAGGAGAGACAGCGGCAGCGGAAATGAAAGGAGTGTCCACAATCTTCCCTACTCTAAGTACATCAAACGGAGGGAAGAGGGGAAATGTTTCAGGTGCGGCGGACCTTTTAGCCCCAGTCATCGTTGTACAGAGAGGGGGATAAGGACGATGATTTTGGCTGAAGAGGAGGAGGAATCTGAAAATGAAGGGGAGGATGAACTGAACATCACCAAGATGGAGTTATCGGCCCTTTCTGTGGCCTCACGACGCCCCGAACGATGAAGCTACGAGGAAGAATGGGTCAACGTGAGGTATTGGTTTTAATTGACAGTGGCGCTAGCCACAATTTTATAAGTCGACGGGTGGTGAAGGAATTAGAGATGACAGTGGTGGAAACCCCACCGTATATGGTAAGCTTGGGAAACGGACAGAGGGAACGAATTAACGGGTGCTGTGAACAGGTGGCATTGGAGATGGGGGAAGCAGAAGTGGTTGAACGCTTCTATATTTTTGAGTTGGGCGGAGTCGACGTCATTCTCGAGGTGGAATGGTTACAAAAGCTTGGGAAAGTGATGGTGGACTGGAAAGAATCGACGATGAAGTACTGATAGGGAGATAGGAAGATAACAGTGAAAGGGGATCCCACTTTAGAACGAAGAGTGGTGGGCCCCAGAGCTTTACAGAAAATAGATGAGGTGGCAGTGTGGTTATTGGTTTGGGAATTGGGCTCGTGTAAGACCCAGGCGAGCAGCCCAAATTGTTCGGGGCTTACTGAAAGACAAAAACATCAGATAGAGAAGTTACTAAAATTTCATGACGTGGTGTTCGCGGAGTTAGTGGGGTTGCCACCTAGCAGAGAGACGGTGCACCAGATCACCCTTAAAGAGGGCATCGGTCAGATCAATGTCCGTCCGTACCGATACCCACACATGTTGAAAGATGAAATCGAGCAGCAAGTGACGGAGATGCTCCGGAACGGGGGTGATCCGACCAAGCCATAGTCCGTACTCAAGTCCAGTAATTTTAGTCAAGAAGAAAGATGGAAGTTGGTGCTTCTGCATCGATTACCGAGCCCTAAATCGAGCGACGGTGCCGGATAAATTCCCCATACCGGTAATAGAGGAGTTGTTGGACGAGTTAGGAGGGGCTACCTATTTTTCGAAGGTGGATTTGAAGGCCGGGTATCACCAAATCCGCATGGCTGAGAAGGATATAGAGAAGATGGCGTTCCGCACGCATCAGGGGCATTACGAATTCGTGGTGATGCCTTTCGGACTCACCAATGCGTCGGCGACGTTTCAGAGCACTATGAATCACCTCTTCAAGCCCTATTTGCGGAAGTTCGTGCTCGTCTTCTTCGACGACATCCTCGTTTACAGTCGAACCTGGGATGAACACTTGGAGCATGTCGGAAAGGTCCTGGAAACGCTGAGTCGGGACCAGTGGGTGGCCAATCGAAGGAAGTGTGAGTTTGGGCAAACCCACATCAAATACTTGGGACATATCATCTCGCATAGAGGCGTGGAGATGGACGATGAAAAGATCAAGGCGGTGGTGGATTGGGAACGGCCAAAATCGGTAAAGAGTTTAAGGGGATTTTTGGGTCTGTCGGGGTATTATCGGAGGTTTATTAGGGATTATGGCAAAATCGCCAGACCTCTAACGGAACTGTTGAAGAAAGGGGGCTTTGCTTGGAACGAAAGGGCGGAAGAGGCATGGCAAACACTGAAGACAGCCGTCACGACAGCCCCGGTGTTGTCCTTACCCGACTTTCAGCAACCTTTTCACATTGAGTGTGACGCGTCGGGTAAAGGAGTGGGTGTTGTACTGATGCAGGAAAAAATACCAATCGCTTTTTTCAGTAAGGCTTTATCTGAAGGAACTCTCAGCAAATCCATTTATGAGAAGGAATTGATGGCTCTCGTGTTAGCTATCCAGCATTGGCGTCCTTACCTACTAGGGCAGAAATTCATAGTGCACACGGACCAGAAAAGCCTCAGGTATCTATTGGAGCAAAGGATCACGATGCAGAATCAACAAAACTGGATAGCTAAACTATTGGGATATGATTTTGAAATTATGTATAAGACTGGGACGACCAACCGAGCTGCTAATGCTTTGTCTCGAATAGCAGAGGGTGAAAAAGAAGAAAACAAGGAACTGACAGTGATAGCCAGAACTTACTGGCAAGACTTTGAAGAAGTCACGAGGGAAGTGGAGGAGGATGAGAGGCTACGAAAGGTGATTGAAGAGATTAAGGGGGATCCAAATTCTCACCCGGCGTACATGATGGAACACGGAAGGTTGCATTACAAAGGGAGGTTAGTATTGTCTGCAAAGTCTTCGTGGTTACCTAGGCTAATGGCAGAATTTCACCAAACTCAAACGGGGGGCCACTCGGGAGTCTACAGGACATACCGGAGGATAGCCCAGTCCTTATTCTGGATCGGGATGAAGAAGGATATTACAGAGTTTGTGGCTAAATGTCTTGTGTGTCAACAACACAAGTATTTAGCGTCATCACCGCAAGGATTACTACAGCCCTTGCCAATTCCAAATGTAGTTTAGGAAGAACTTAGCATGGACTTCGTGGTACGGCTGCCTAGGTCCCAGGGGTACGATGCTATATTGGTGGTGGTGGACTGTTTGAGCAAGTATGCCCATTTCATACCGCTCAAACACCCTTATTCGGCAAGGGCGGTGGCTGAGATTTTCATGAGAGAAGTAGTAAGATTGCATGGGATCCCAAAGTCCATCGTGACCGACAGAGACCCATTATTCTTGAGCATGTTCTGGAATGAATTGTTCAAAAGCCAGGGGACACAGCTGAAAATGAGCACCGCATATCACCCAGAAACGGACGGGCAGACGGAGGTGGTGAACCGTATTCTGGAAGGTTATCTCAGGTGTTTCTGTTCAGAGCAGCCTCAAGGTTGGATGACAGTGCTATCATGGGCGGAGTTTTGGTATAACACGAGTTACCAAGGAGCAATAAGGTGCACACCCTTTGAGGTTGTCTACGGGAGAGCGCCTCCTTCTTTGCACAGATTCATTCCTGGTGAATCTTTGGTAGAGGTCGTGAATCAAGAACTTCAAACCAGAGACGAAGCTCTGAAACAGTTGAGGTTCCATTTGGAACGCGCACAGGATCTTATGGTGCAACAAGCTAATAAAAAGAGACGGGTCGCGAATGTGAATGTGGGGACTGGGTGTATTTGAAGATACGACCCCATAGACAAACCTCAATGCCAACCCGACTCCACCCAAAGCTGTCAGCAAGGTATTTTGGACCTTTTCGGGTGATTCAGAAGGTGGGGGAGACAGCTTGTAAATTGCAGTTGCCAGAGACAGCTCGAATCCATCCGGTATTTCATGTTTCATAGGTGAAGAAGGCAGTAGGAGAGCACCAGGTGGAGAAGGACCTACCGCCTGATCTGCAGGCAGAAGGGCCTTCGTTTTGGCCCGTGAATGTTTTGGGAAGGAGGCAGCGGACAGAAGAAGGAGAAAGCGTGCCGCAACTGCTAGTGGAACAAGGAGGACAAGAAGGGGCCACCTGGGAAGATGAAATAACCATCCGAGAACAGTACCCCGATTTCAACCTTGGGGACAAGGTTGATGATCAAGGGGAGGGTATTGATAGGGATAAGAATAAGAAAGAATGGGTAGTTTATGAGAGAAGAAATAGGAGGAAATGAATTTAACAAACTGTAACAGACTTTCAGTTAGGACAGTTTGGCGAGACTGAAAGATGGTATAAATAAAGACTGAGTAGAAGGGATGGGGGATTTTTGTTTGCTTAGTTGCTTATGGGTTTATACCTGTGGAAGAGGGTTATGCCTCTGTGGTTGAGTGTATAGATACTATACTTGTGAATAACATTCAAACTTTTCTTTCTTTCTGTGTTTCTGGGGAAGGACGGGAGTCTTGAAAGTGGGTTCCCCCTTTAGGAACCCAACAAAGAGGGATGAAGTTGTACCGTTTATATGGTTGTTGGATAACACTCAACAAAAATGCACATACATGTACATATAGATAGATTGATACATACATACATACATATATACATACATACATATATATATACATATATATATATATACATATATATATACATGTGTGTGTGTATTTATAAATATATATATATATATATAATCTCATGATTCCAACCATAAAATATATCTCACCAGGTATAGACTAGTTGTGATCACTACTAACAGACTCAATATGACTGTGAATGGTATATGATCTCGTTTCATGTTAAGACAATGCCACAAGCATAAATATAACTGAAGGTCCCAAGATTATTCCAATGACTTTAGTATTATATCCATTAGCTTAAAAAGAGAAAAGTGAAATCACTTCCAAAATTAAGCAATTTACAAAAATAAAGAGATAGACATAGAGGGCAACCCAATCCATGAGACTCTCACCTACAGAAATTTGTGGAAGGAAGATCTACACAGACTTGGCCCTACAAGCAAAGAGGCTATTTCTAGGATTTGAACTGGTGACCTCCAGGCCACAAGGCAGCAACCTTAGTTTGCACTAAGGCTACTCCTCATAAAGAAAAGAAATTGACATACACAGAAAATAATCAAACAAAAATCACTTACATGCGTTCCAATTTCCCCCTATTTACAAAGAACCCATCATGCTTGATTGCAGAGTTATCAACCTCAAAATACTCATCCTGCAGAAAGAAGAGTTAAACTAATTAAAAAATATGAAAGGTGAAATGGTCACAATATAGGACAATGAAATTCCTGTTTTATCATCAATCAAAGGTCAAATAGTCATAATGTCATAACAAAGCAAAATGGTATAAAAGATACCAACCAATTCAGCATCATCAATGAAAGAGTCTTCTGTATCA